ATTCTTGAGAGATGTAGGTTAAAGAGAATTGAGCTTAAGCCTGGGTTGGTAGGATGCATGTTACCTTGCTTCAGAGAAAGGAAATAGCCTGTGGAGAAGAGGAGAGTGTGTTTGCTAGCAGCTAGTGTGCACTAGAAGGAAATATTTAGGTGGGTTAATTCTGTAGGTGTGAAAATGTGGTGTGCTGTCTATCCTGTTATAAAACTGGCAGTGAATTGTCCAGAAGTGAGTAATGCAGATAATGCTACATATCTTGGACCATATTTTCTTTATTTTAAGAATTGAAATAGTTGTTGTTTGCAATGGTAGAAGATCCTCAGGACAGAACGTGCATGATGAAATACTGAGTATAATTGTAATAATACAGAATAAAAATTCCATGCAATGAAAAAGGCAGGTAAACAATATGAGTAGGGGCCTAGGGTATTTTAAAAAACATTTCTCAGTCAGATATCTGATTGTCTGGATTAGGAGACATTAGATTTATTTTCAGAATCTGAACCTAGGTCAGCATATTGCTGCTCTCTAGAACCCCAGAATGTTTAGATGACATTTAGTACAGTGTAGCCGTGTAAAGTTAGGTTAGCAACTGTATGTTTTCAAATGACATTTAGAAAAACATGTCAGTCTTAGGGTAATTTCTTTCTGTCTCCTTTTTTATTTTATCAGTTTTAGAATGTTAGCTGTGGGGGAGATAGCCATATAAAAGCGTTACATGAAATAACATTGACATTTTTGATACTGAAAACCAGACAAGTGTCTGTTCCTTATGAACACTTAAAGCAGAGTGAAAACACAACTAGTAATATTTGCTCTAAATGTAGTGCAATTAATGTGCCATGAGCATTTTTTTTTAACTCTCCTAGCACAGATGAAACTTTCAGTGTTGCGAGTTTTTTAATATGTTTGTTAATAAGAATGTTCTTGGTGAACCATTCAAATGCGAGTAACGTTTGAAATGTATATTCAAAGATAATCTTAGCCATTTCATATAATTTGTTGATGTAGCTATTTTGTCTAAGTTACTTCATATAATACAAAATACTGTCTCTTTTGAGGAGTCTAAGAACTTGTATAACTTCAGTATTCAGTGTGTGCATTTCTGAAAAGTGAAAAAGATGGCACATTTTAAAAATGTCACAGTGCACTTGTATTTGAAGGTCTCTGGGTAGTATGTGACTATTTGAGGAAAGACTTTATTCAGCATGCTGACAGCTCAGATTCATGCTGGGAATACTAGTGCACTCTTCTATTGTATTCCATACAGGGAGTTTAGTGCAGATAGAGATCAGGTGTGTTCTTTGTAGTTTATTCAGAGTAGCTCTTTTATACTGTACTGAAGGATATTACTTTAAAATCTATTTGTAATACAATAGTGTTTGCAGTATGAGAGGCAGTACGAAGAAGAATTGATGTTTTGTTTCTTTTCTTCTCCCCTCTTTAATATATATATTTGTTCTTTCTTCCCTGTGCCCCCCTCCCTCCCCTAATATAGTTGAGGAAAATAGGAGGTGGAGGATTTGGAGAAATTTACGATGCACTGGACTTGCTTACTCGGGAAAATGTTGCACTAAAGGTCGAATCAGCTCAGCAGCCAAAGCAAGTACTGAAAATGGAAGTAGCTGTGTTGAAAAAGCTGCAAGGTAAGGCTGTACCTTGGATATGCCAGAAGTAGAATGTCAGTGTATCTTCTTTAAAAAAACATTATAATCTCTTATTTAGTCATAGTTTAAGCAAATATTTCTCGTATTGTGCAGGTTACTGCTAAATGGTTATAACAAGTGGAATAGAAGCTTTTTCAGATTCTGAAAGTCTTGCTACAATTAACTTTTTCTGTGATTTGGGATGACATGAAAATAAAAAAAATTCTAGTGTTAAAATGGGAAACATTTAAAAAAAACACATGAACAAACATAATCTCTTAACTTGAAGCTACTGTAACTTTTAGGAAAAAAGTACTGACGTGTAAAATCCTGAAATACTTTTAGGGATCAGTTCCTTGAGTCAGAATTTGAATAGTCACTTTTTATATACCTTTAAGTACTTCAATGTCTGAAGCTATCAATACAGAGAAATATGCAATGGTTTCTTTTCCTTGCTTTTCACAACACAAGATTGTTGAAAGAAAGCTTAAAGGGAGACTCTTTCTTTAAAATATTTTGTTTTTAATCTGGAAGATTTTGAATAATACATGTGTTCCTGTCGGCAGCCCAATTTTCCCAAACTCTTAGTTTGAATCAAACAAAATCTGGATGACATATGGTGCTGCCTAATGTGCTGTAAAGGTCACACTGCAGCAGAAATTGACAGCCTCTATAGATTCAAGAGGCAAGCGTGTCACATGTTATAATGTTAACAAACTGCTCCTACTTTTGTCTGTTTAAAGGATTTCACAAAAAACATCTAGTATTATATAGCTGAGCAAAGAGATTCAAGGACTGCATTTTAGTTTGGTTTGAGTTTTAGAGTTCCTTGTCCAGAAATGAAAAGTAAATTTCAGTATTGCCAATTTTAAGTTTAGAAAACGTGTCAGCATTCTTGAAAGAAATTATCTTAAAGATAGTGAGTTTTGAATAACCAATACTCTGTAATTCCAGTGTTTTTAAATGCTCTGGATTAATTTTTCTTTTATTTTCTTTTTTTTTTTTTTTCTGCACGCATGAGCTTGATTCTCTTTTCATAAATAGCTGAAGCAATGAGGAAAATAGTAGGTCTGAAAGAAAATATTGGACTTTGGTAGCACTGCAATGCCATTGTATTTATAAAAATACAACCTTATATCTGATTACGTAACTGGAGTGCATGATAACTTCCTACTGTAAAAAATGGTCAATTTTCAGTTAAGATGTTAGAAAAATGAATTTTTTCTTAGTAAAAACTTTTTTACCTTTTGAAATACTTCTGGAAAAAAATAAATGCTGAAATAATAAAACACTGATATGTGAATAATTGCTGTAGGGCCTTTCAGAAGTTATACTCCCAAAGGAAGACTGATAAGAACATATAATTCCTTTAGCAGCTCAAGTCTTCCTGCAGAAGAGTCTTTGTTTCTGTTGACCCATGGTAAATGTTGCCTGGATAAAAAGAACAGAACAATGAAGCACCTGAACAACAGATCCACTGAGACAAATATTCCACATAAAATATAAACTGAGTAAATATTTCTCAGTACTATTTCTTTGAGCAACAATAATTAGAAGCTTTTATATAACTGAAACTCAAATTTTATATGAGATCTTTAGAAGGAGCTCTTTGGACAACCTTTCTTATGAGTAAACAATCTAAATATATTATTTCTTAGGTTTTATGTCTTTTTATTCTCTTGCACAGTTAAAAAAACATTAAAAAGTTAGGGATCTCATAATAATACCATTGGAAGTGACTTTTAGTCATTGCTATGGAAGTTCCACACTTAACACTGTTACTGCTCTGGTTTAAGATAGGAAATATTGTAGATGATCAGGAAAGCAACTGCAGGGAAGAGACAGGACAAAGGTGAAGCTTTTACGTATATTGAGCTTTATAGTTGGCACAGATAGAGAACTTTATTCGTACAAGCTCCTATTTTTATCCATACTTAAAGGATTTTTATTAAATAAGATTATGGTAGAAACCATTTTATGTTTTACAGAAAATCTTTGCTCCTAGGAGCCATTTCCAGTAATTTCTTTACCTTATAAAGTTTTCAGTATAGAAAACCTAAAAATTAGAAGCATAGAGAAGAATCAAGAAAAATGGATGAAAATGAGCAGTATAAAACAACGTTGTAATTGTTTCTTGAAGATTATTTTTTTGCTAAATGCTTCATTTACCATATAGAAATGTGTCTTAATTTTGACATTTTTTTTTAATTCAGAACAGGTGAAATTGTAAACAGATCTTTTAGGATATTTTTGTAGCTTCTAATAGAGTACATCCTCTGAGAACAACTTTTATCTTGTTCTTCTATCCCTTTTTGGCGAGTGTGTGTGTGTATTTTTGTATGTAAATAATTATCCTTTTCTCAAAGGGCTTATGTTCTCTTACTTTCAAGGTGTTCTAGTTACCTTGGACATAGAGGAAGGAATAAAATCATCATGAAAATCCTTTCTCTTGCAAATGGTTGGCAAGTTTGATCTATGAATTGTATGCAATGAGAGACGTGAGCTGACAGAGTCATTCAGAATTCTCTTGATGTGTAGATCTGACTGTAAAAACAATTGTACAATTTCTGGGAAAGTTATGAAAACACAGGCTTTTAGGAAAAAAATTAAATAAAGAGGTGTAATATGTCTCAGTCAAGCAGAACAGCTCTTCCAGTCTTTGCTAGAACTAGGCAGATTCTTAGGGTTATAAACATGCTTTTGAGTGTATCTGTATTAGAACCTGAAATGAAAACAGCTGTTGGCAGAAGTGCAGGGATGTACTATATTAATTATTCTTTACTTTCAGAAATTTTGAAAATTAAACCAGTGTGGTCATTCATTACATGGGCAAAATGAGTAATAACTTTGTGGGTATACAGTACAGTGAATAGTGAAAAACTTCAAAGAAGCTCTTTTAAGACTCTGACCTAGCAAAACATGCTTAAATGTGTGAGTAGTCGTATGACTTCTCTTTTAATTATGAAGGAGGAGTATGTTCACTGATGTGGCCATTTATTACAGCTTAGTCATCAATTACATCTTTTTTTTTTTTTCCCCCTTCTGTCATGTAATTAGTGCTGCAGAATACTGTTTAACTCTTTAAGCTCCCTGGTTTTCCTTTTTTTTTTTTAAGGAAAAGAACTCTGCTGCAACAGATGGTTGTTTTGTTTAACCATGTTGTTAGGCCATCTGTTCCCACAGTCAGATGGGAGGAGACAGATTTATCACATCTCACTCAGTGAGAGTGAGACTCACTCAGTTGGTTTCCGTCTCACACAACCTTACAGGCTTCTCCCTCACTCCTTTACAGCTCCCCAGCATAGTTTAGTGCTGGGCTGCCCCTGGTGTAGGCTCTACAGCTCACTGCAGTGATACGCTGCAGCAGCCTGGGGAATGGTCTGTAGGCTTCCTACCCTCCCTAGGAGGTTTTTTGAGGGCATAGTTGTTTGCTGCGACCTGTTAACATCACCTTCTCCCCCTGAACCCCAGTCGTGTAGCTCCCAGGTGAGAGAAAATACTGTTTTCTTGCTGAGGGAAAAGGAGTGTGTGTAAGGCTCAAGTAGGAGTCTGTAGCCCCACTGGAGTGGTGGAGGATCATTCTATTTGAATAAGGCATACAGACCCCAGTTCTCTCCCCTCTTTCCTCAGGTTTTTATTGAAGTTAGTTTTCAGAGAACTGACCACACAAACTGAATCGCTGCTCCAGTTGAAGTGGGATTTCTCTGACTGAACCACATTTTGGAGATTTTCTGAATTGGACAGATAAAATGTGACTAATATACATTTCTCTGAAGATGTTCCTTCAGCATACCCACAGTGGATGTAAAATGAATCATAAGTATTTGAGATGAGACTTCATTAACTGGAAACTGCAGCAATGAATATACAAAATTTCATCTTGACAAATTTGCTGCTAAGTCTTTTTCTTCATAAAATTATACTGTCTGTAATACCGCCTGTCTTACTTAAATGAATGGGTGGAAGGAAAAAGTGGAGGAAAAGCAGTGATACTTAATAGCTTAGTATTTACATATTTGCAGAAATTACAGAGATTTCTTTTAAAATAAATTATTTTGATGAATCCCGTAACATTTTCTTTTTTTAAATGGGCCTACCTGATTTAATTGTATGTGGCAGGAAGCTTCCTGAGGAAGCAATAAACAGACAACCACTCTTCTGTCAAGTGAAGTGAGAATATTCAGAAGCTATAGGGTCAAGTAGGGTTTTGATGGAGCTATGAGTGCAGCGAATGCAGTAGTAGCAAAAAGTCCCCCCAGATCTATAGCTAGCCACAAGGGTCATTTGAAAAAAGTAATGTGGGTTTTTTTTTTCATTTTTTAATTGCCTTTCTCCTTTAACTTTTTTTTATTACCCCCCCCCATCCCCCATATGAGAGTCTGGTAATCCTAAGGGTAAAGAAATTCGTGAAAGAAACCTTAGATGACACAAATTTTACACACCTTTAGTAACCCCTTGAGACTGTCAGCTTTCTGTTGGCTGTAGCTTCCACAGTGTCCGAAAGGAAGGTAAATGGCCTCAGGGACTTAAACCCTACAGTTCCCTGTTCTGTCACAGAGTGGGGTCATAAGGGGTCCTGACTTCTCTCCAAGACAATGAACACAGATATAAAAATGACAATGAGTTTGTATTCCCCTTCTGTTTCCCTGCTACAGTCTTTGGCTTGCTTTTTTATTTACTGGGGAATCTTATGTTTTGACTTACAGCTGCAGGATAGCAAGGAGATTGTTTGTGACCAGCCTTCGTCTCCTCCGCAGTTTGCTCCGAGGACAGGAGGAGGCTTTAAAGAAAATCGACTTAAACAAAACTATAATATTTTTTTCTCTGTTTCAGTGTACCTGAGATGAATTTATCTTTTATAGCTAAATAGCAAAGATTATATTCTAGAAAACAGATGTTAATAAATTGGATTTGTTGAATAGTAATTTCTGCAGTTTTTTAATACAAAACATAGCCCAACAAGTAAGTACTGCTGTTCTCTTTCATCACGGCAGCTGCAGCTTATAGAAAAGAGGAATGGTGGCTCGGATTATTGTCTGTAACAAGCCACCAGCTTTGTAAGAAAACAACCTCTCCAGTCCAAAATGCCTCTTGGACCTTTAGGCATGTTGTCATGCATGTTTTCTTATGGAAGAGTGATGGCTGTGGTAGAGCTTCATATATTATGGGAAAAAGCTTTTGTTTAATTGCAGGTAGAACTAACTTTAGTTTTACTACTGTTGAATTGTGGGGGACTTAGTTTATTGAGCACCTCTATAGAAATATAACTATAATTTTAAGTAATTTGCTAGGTATTTAAAGGAATAAACCACAGAATTTCATTATTATTGTCTAATTTGCTTCTTTTTCTCTCAGGAAAAGATCATGTCTGTAGATTCATCGGATGTGGACGCAATGACAGATTTAACTATGTGGTCATGCAGTTGCAGGTCAGTGTATCAAACAGAGCTCAATGTTTGCTTGTGTGTTTTGGATTATTAGCCAAGCATATAGGAAAATACTAGTAAAATTTTAGAGGATGCCTAACTAAAAGTAGTACCCCAAAGATCATGAACACATAGTAGTGAGCAAGGCTAAATTGAGCATATCCTTATATCTTTATCCTTTTATTATATCCTTTCCATAATTCTGTCAAAAAGGAGAAAGCTTGCATCCTGAGAAAGATCTCACTTTTGAAAGAGTGAACTGTGATATCTTCTGAGATAATTTACATTCCTTTTAAGTCTTCACTCAAAGATAGTCTAGAATGTATTATATTTGTCTCTGCATTTTGTTGCCTTTTTTGATAAAAGTGAAAAAAATACTCTTTGCACGTAAAAGAAAACACTTAATTCACTTTACTGAAAGACTTGTTCCTGTAAAAAAGGGATAAAATGGGTGATTTGCAATTAAGGTTATGGGATTATTGTCCTTTATCATCTTGGTGAATATGAATACTAGAAAAAGTGTGGTCTAGTTCACACTGTTGGTCATCTGTTATTTTGGAAGACCAACAGTTTTGTGATGTCACAGGCTTGCATTTCCTACATAGTATATTTCTCATCCTTTCAGTATAATGTATAATTAAATTATGTACTTTTCCTTAAAGAGGTGAGTGTAAAGAACTCTTCGTGAGCGTTTTCTCAGTGGCTATTTTTCAAGTGACACAGATACGATGTTAACTAATAGTGTTTGTACTAGTCTTCTAACAGAGATTAGTTTGTTCTATGTATTTAGGAGTAGAGTGATACTAAGATTCATATTTTCAAAAACAGATTCAAAATTTACTGTTGAAAATACTCGTGTATACACTTAGGTGAGATATGTTGTCCTTAAATGTTAAAATAGGTATTGAGAGCATTCCATGGTTAACCATGAACAGCTAAAGAAGTAGGAAGATATTACACCATCTGTGAATCTTGGTTTTGGTCTTTTTTTATGAAAACGTTGTTTTGATTTAATCAGGGTCGGAACTTGGCAGACCTGCGTCGGAGCCAATCTCGAGGGACATTCACCATTAGTACCACTCTGCGGCTTGGGAAGCAGATTTTGGAATCTATTGAAAGTATTCATTCTGTGGGATTCCTGCACAGGGACATAAAACCAGTAAGTCTGCCTATTAAATCAAAACAGGCAAGTAAGATGTGGTCATTAGATGGCTGCATAAATAAGAATAGGTTCTATGCTAGATGCTAAAGTGCAAAAATGTCAGAAAATTGAAGGTTAAATCATCAGATAGGACAGATTTTTTTTCTGTTAATTAATGTTGGAATGCAACAACAGTAACTTTGGTCCTTGTCATCATTGTCCCCTGTTAATTTAGGCCTCCTTGCAGTTTTCTGTAGTTAAAACTTCCAACTCTTATCTGTAGCGGCATGTAATCAAGAGTATTTGCCATGAGATATGATATAATGTGTTTGACTATTGTCATATAATAAATCTAAAAGAATAGATACTAAATGTAGGGCGTATTTATAAGCCCTTCAATAGCAATTTTTTGTATTTAATGTATTCTTAACAAATAAGGAGAGGAAGGACAGACTGTAAGAGAAAGGTATTTTTTATTGTGCAATTCTAATAAAATCTGTTGTCAATATGCCATGAGGATAGTGCCTTCCTGGTAATATCAGGCTTTTATTCTCCCTATTTTTTCTGGTTTTGACTTTATTCCTGAAATGCACTGCCTCCTTTTTAGTATTACTGTGTATTTAAAATATGATTATAACTCTGAACTGTCAAAATTTGTAAATGAGAAAAAATAAGGAAATCTTGCATTTTCTAATAGATGCACTCATGGCTGGTTGTATCTGACATGTAGCCAAACTTCCTGTCAACTGAATGATGCTTACCTAACACCTCTGAGAAGTTTCTGTACATTAGGAAATTTTCATTTTCATCACTTCTTCCTGGCAACTCTTTATAAAACTTGTATTCTCCCTGAACCCTCCTCATTTAAGGGCATAGAGGCAGTGAATGTCAAGTGAAATAGGTGAGAAGAACTTAGCTGGATCTCAAGAATTTGATAATGAAAGCGTTTCAAGTTTTGAATGGGAAATGTGTTCCCTTATGGCTGGCAGGATGGATTAGGGACCTCTTGTTGTCGAGCTATATCTTGGTGGAGTCTGTGGGCTCGAATAGGATGAAAATGGAGAGTTTGATCAGGGGAAGGAAAAAACCCCCAAAATTTAAAGGTTGAGACAGGATAAACAGCACTGTGAGGTCATATATTAGAGTCATAAAAGAAGTAATTTTTCTTCCCCTTTAGAAGTTATGTTGCGACTCACAAAGGCAAAAGAAGACATGATTGCTTTCTAGTACGCAGTTTTCCTGGCTTAAAAATACAAGTTCTTTTATTCTTTTGTTATTCCTCTTCTAGACAGATTATGCTAAAAGCAAGCTTTGAGCTGAAATATTGAAGTCTTTGATTGTTTTTTTCCTTGTGATCAATTAGGGAATGCTGAAATCCAGTTCCATTTAAAAATAATGTTGATCGCACTAATTTCAGTTCATAGTTTTGATTGGTTTTTACCAAGTTTTGAATTTCAGATTTACTTAGAATGGTACTGCTGTTCCATTTAATGGAAACAAGAAGTTTTCTTAGAGTTAATTGTGTTAAGCTTCCAGTTTGCTCAGGTGTGTGGTTTGTCTGTTTTTTTAAACCTGGTTCTTTCCCCATCCATGGCTGGGAAAGGCAGTTTGCATCCCATATTTTGTATTCTGCATATATGATATTAGTGCATTTGTTTAGATGAACTTGTTGGCCATTTGATTGGTAGTTTTTTGAAAAGTCCAAATCAATATATGTGAGTGGGTGACATGGTTGGAAAATTCTTGCTAGAAGTTAATATATTCTAGTGACAAAGTAAGATGACAATCTTGTCAGACAATATAGCCCGCTGTTCAGATGTGCTAAGTTGGATGCCTGTTTTTCTTAACAAGGTTTCCTTCAAATTTAATGGGAGTTTGATAAAAGTGAAAATATAGAAGGAAGGATGCAGAAGTAGAATATGAATTTTCTTATGATTGTTTTACTGCATTAATACATGAATATATTGAAACCTCTGTCTTTGTTTCTGTTATCTATGTGTATTTGTTTTTCTTCCTAGTCAAACTTCGCAATGGGACGTTTTCCTAGCACCTGTAGGAAGTGTTATATGCTGGATTTTGGCTTGGCACGGCAATTTACCAACTCATGTGGGGATGTCAGACCAGTAAGATTTTTTCACAGTTGAAATTTGAATACTTGAATGTGGTAGTATGCTCTCTTCTTTTCTGGAGAAGTATGGGAGTTGCACTGAACTGGTAACTGTTTTAAGCTTGACAAACACTATTCCAGATCAGAAATGCCATGTGATCTATTGATTATGGTAAAAGACTGGCAGTTGGGAATGACTCAGGTTCTGATTTTTGGCTTGAGGCAGAAGTGTACATCTATGATATTTTGGGATAATCTGTCAGGTTTTTATTAATTATCAGTAATATACCAGAGCTGAATTTCACTTGGTGTTGTATATTGCATTTAAAAAACCCCAACAACTATGAGGAGAAAAAAAATGAAAGTCAGATACTAAAGTGAATATGTATCATCTTCTGAAAGAGGAAGTCTGAATAACTAAAACAGTGATAGGACACCAATTATAATATGTAAGAGGACATAGTTAAGTGTAGTTACTGTATTCCAAATGCAAACAACCTGAAGAAAATTGTAGATAAAAGCATATCAGTGAGGGAATTACAATTTTAAGTACAGTAGAGCCTCCCTAATTCACTGATGGGTAGTTAATTTTGGTAATTTCAAAGTTTGAAAATGAGCATGTCAGTGCCATGGTACATGGTGATGTTTTAAAGAAACATATTTTCTTTTTTAAGCTGCTTTAGTTTTCATTTTGATGGTAATACTGAATAATGTACTAGTCAATACTGTGTGGCGTATTTATAAATATGATGTGAGTGGTAGAAGACATCTCTACAGGATTTTCACTTTTATTTTGCCTAAGAAGTTGGGAAAGTGGCAGATTTTTTTGTGCAGATTATGAATTAGTAAGGTAAATTAGCGGGGTTCTGCTGTACTCTATTCCTTCAGCCATAATGCTGGACACTGCAATGAAAGCAAAGAGCAGGGGAGACCAACAGAGTGGCTGCTGCTGTTGGAAAGGTGAGCTAAACATTTTAAGTAGTTTACTTCTCTTTTTTTTTTTTATTATTTCTCAGTGTTCTTGTCGTGTTCTGTATGTTTGGCTGCTACGAATGTTTTTTGAACAGACCTGTAATTTCAAAGAGAAAACAGTTCCCAAGTTTCTGTATACATACACACTCCAATGATAGCATTTCCAGAAACAAATAGGTGATAAGAACAGAAAATTCAGTATTTCTCCTATTCCTTCTTTTGTAAAAACTCACCTCTTGCCTTTTGTTTTTCATTGCAGTGCCCTACAAGGTAACTGAATTTTCTTCAGTTTAAATTCTTTAAATTCTTCTTTAAATTTAAATTCTTCAATTTAAATTGTTGTCAATTTTTTGACAGTGTAACCCATATTTATAGAGTGCAGTGGTGGTGGGGAGAAAGACAGTGGGTTTGTTTGTATGTAATAGCTAGAAATGGCTACTGTGTAGAGATCAACCCTACTGTTGGCGTTGTTTACTAATAGAAGTTATTAATATTTTCATTAAATGTGCTACGTGCTTCTCCTTAAGGCTGTCCTTCTAAGTTTCATTAGATTTGTTCAGCAGACACTGCAAATAACCCAGGACAATGTCAAAGCATGTTTTCCAAAAACATAGTACTCTATTGGTAAAAACCTGTTCCATAGTTAAAGCTGACTGGTCGACTATGAGCTTTTTATAACCCTAATTTTGCTGTCCCTGTTAAACTGTCTTTATCTCAACCCATGAGTTTTCTAGTTTCTTTGCTTTTGATTCTCTCCCTGTCCCCTTGGTGGGGGAGTGATGGGTTGCTGTGTGAGGCTTGGTTACTGCCTGAGGTTCAACCACAACAGGCTTTTGTTTGTTGTTTGTTATAGACAAGTTTGTTCATTGTCAGTTTGTTTTCTTCCTGAGGATTTATGATGTCTCCCTAGCTTTCTTACCTGAAAGAATAGTCAAAGTAGAGAACTTGAAATGAGAAAGCCATCTGAACTAATTCCATGCCATAGTTCCATACGGAAGGATCTCCCAGAGATGCCTGTCATTTCCTAAGATGTCTCAGGGTTGTTTTCAGAGGTGTTGTTCATCTTCGTACTGCCCATCTTAATGTCAGATTCCATGGTGATTTAACACCATTCAGTTGTAGCTGCTTCTGTCTGAATACTGTTTTGAAAAATGCAGATTCAATATAAAAAGCTTCTCAGAAGGTAGTATTTAAAAAAAAGGGGGGGAGGTTTGCAACACCTGTAGTACTTACTGTGTTTTTCATTGCATTTTGGAGTGTTACATATGGACTACCTTTTAAATAATTGAGGAACAAGCAGTTTTCAGTCCATTTCACTTTTTTTTTTTCCCTAGTGGGATTTGTGGTAGAATGATTTTTCACACTTGGATTAGATTATCTAAAATGACCTTTGGTTTGCAGCAGCCAGATAACAGTAATACAGATTTTGAAAGGAAAAAAATAAAACTTCAAGGAGATATATGGTAGTTCATCCACCAAGAGTATGATGGAATCTAGAAAACTGCTTCTATAGGTAATAATGTTGTCTTTATTCCCCCATCAGAATCCCTTTTTCATGAAAAGCTTAAGCTTTTGAAGTCAGTAAGTGACAGCAATTTTCATGCGAATACTGCTGCAGGATGCACTGATTTTTACATAACTGAGGGACACAAATAATTAAGAAGGGAAACAACTATTTCATATTGAATAATCAGTTAGATTTTCATCACTTATTAACTTGGGAGCCTAACCAGTGATATGTTATTTGGGTCAGCCATTCCATCTGACTCAAGCTTTCAATATAAAATGTGGCATGAAGTTACAGAGCCGATGAATTAATTCCACCAGTTTTTAAAACTGGGCATACATTGCTGTAAACTTAAAAGCATATGTTTTGTGTTTATAAAAACTAGTATCAAATTTTCTCCTCATTCTTCCTGGTTTCCCTGGTACTTCTGTCAGTGCCTTTTTTGCTTTTTTACATGAGCTTCTTTTCCCCCACTGCAGCTGAAATAGCCTTTTAAAGCCTCTCTCCAGAACAATATAATTTCTTCCTTCAGCGATATCAGAACTCTATTTCAGAAAACAATGAGATGACACATTTCCAGTGTATTTCTCAAATATTTCTGTTGTAGCTGTCTTTATTCTGTTCCTTACAAAGGGAATGCACTTTCTAAGTCTTCTTTTTACACTGTGTAGGTAGTAATCTGTTGTAAAGTTAGTGAAGAGGGATAGAATTGGTTATAAATGTAATACAACTGTTAGAGAAGGACTAATCTTTTCTGGCATTCCATAATCATTATCCAGACTGTGTTTTAAAATTCAGCATTTTCTTTATGTCAAAATATTACCCCTCTTTATAAACAGGGCTAAGAGTTCATTTCAGGAAATTAAGGAGTATTTTGAGGGATGATTTTATGTAATGAAAATGTGTTCAAGGTTTATTAGTCTGCCTCAGTGTCTGACCATACAGTCAAAATGTAATACCTCTATTGCTCATCTTAAGGACCCAGAGGTTTTATGTTCTCTTGGGTTATTCAGTCAGCACAGACAATTTCCCATTTGTTCCAGGGGTTAGTCTTAAAATTATTTAGTTGTAGTTGCAGTTTTCTTATTATAGTGTCATTTTACTACAGTGGTCAACTTTGGTTGGTGAATCTTAAAAACTGAAAGGAAAATAGATTAACACAAAGTATAAAGCAAAACCAAAGCTTTGCACGCTTTTTCATGCTACAAATAGTTCTTTCTCAGAAATACTACTGGATACTAAAACATTTTTAACTGCTGATTTTGAAATGGATTCCTTTCAACAAAGTTGTCCTGTCGTGCAGCTGTCTGAAGGACTCTTCTTGTGTGGAGCTAACTTCAAAGAGAGAGGGATATGTCTGTTGTATCTCAGTAATAAGATATTTGTAAAATATATGAATATGCTGAAGACAGTAGAAGTGCTGCAGTTCATTAAGTTGTATGATCTGACATTATAACCTGGTTAGAACTTAAAAGGCAGAAACAAACACTTATTGCAGCTTGTAAGTTTCTGAAAGATGAAAGAAAAGTAATGACAAATGTGTATCATAGTGTTGCTTGGAAGAGTATCGAATGATTCACACTTGTTTAAAAAGGGAAGCATGTGTAATTTTATGTTTTCTGTTCAATTTACTTAGTCCTGTTTTATTAGCTAAAGAATTTGAAGTTTTACTTAAATGTGTCATAAAAAAATGAAAAATTTTCAGCCAAGACCTTAAATGCAAATGGCATATACTAGATGTAGGTAGCACCAGCATTCTGTGTCTTAGAGTGCAGATGAAATGTATCTATTGTGCCACATCATCTCTTCAAGAGCAAATAGAAAAAAGTGTAACTCTTGCAGATAAGGTCTTTGGAAATGTGTTCGGTAGTTCAGTATTTACAGTGGGTAGGTTTGGATCTGGGTTTGTTTGTTTGTTCATTTTCATGTTCTTTGATTTGTGTGCACTGAAGATCTGGAGGTTTAGGTTGGATATTGGAAAAAGGTTCTTCACCCAGAGGGTGGGTAGTTGGGCGCTGGAACAGGCTACTCAAGGAAATGGTCACAGCACCAAGCCTGAGAAAGTTCAAAAAGCTTTTGGATGATGCTGTCAGGCACCTGGTGTGACTCTTGGGGATGGTGCTGTGCAGGGCTATGGGTTGGACTTGATGATCCTTGTGGGTCCCTTCTAACTCAGCATACTCTGTGATTCTGTGATATTTTGACCAATTATACTTTTGTGAAAGCTTGAACAGTGTTACAGGTGTAGCTGGGAATGGGATGAAGAATTTGGAAAATTGGACAATAGTGTGTGTGTGTATAGGCTTCTGAAACTAAATTTTACATGTAGGGGACATTATTAGAATACAGATATTTGGGTAGATGTAGAATTAGATTATGGAGTGAAAGTTGATAAGGAAACACTGATGGGTGGGAGGAGCCCTGTCTGGTGAGGGAAAAGATTGGAAGACAGCAATTTTAGTGTGGGAAGGAGAACAAAATCTTCTGAGGATGATGTAGGCTTTTGAAAAAAAGAAGGACGAAACTTGGGCAAGCAA